AACTTTACAAGAAAAAAGCAACCCAATTAAAAAATGGGCAAAAGAGCTAAATAGGCACTTCTCAAAGTAAGATATACAAATGGCCAACAGACATATGAAAAAATGCTCAACATCACTCAGCATTCAGGAAATGCAAATCAAAATCACACTGAGATACCATCTCCCCGCAGTTAGGATGGCAAATATCCAAAAGACTTTGAACAATAAATGCTGGCAAGGTTGCAGAGAAAAGGGAACTCTCATACATTGCTGGTGGGACTGCAAAATGGTGCAGCCTCTATGGAAAATGGTATGGAGGTTCCTCAAACAATTGCAGATAGATCTACCATATGACCCAGCTATCCCACTGCTGGGAATATACTCAGAGGAATGGAAATCATCAAGTCGAAGGTATACCTGTGCCCCAATGTTCATTGCAGCACTCTTTACAATAGCCAAGAGTTGGAACCAGCCCAAATGTCCATCATCGGATGAGCGGATATGGGAAATATGGTATATTTACACGATGGAATACTACTCAGCTATAAAAAAGTATGAAATACTGCCATTTGCAACGACATGGATGGACCTAGAGAGAATTATATTAAGTGAAACAAGTCAGGGGCCGGCCCTGTGGCGCACTGCTACAGTGCACCGCTTGGGAGCGCGGCGGCGCTCCCGCCGAGGGTTCGGATCCCACATACAGACCAGTTCCCACTCACTGGCTGAGCGAGGTGCGGGCGCGACACTGAGGGTTGCGATCCCGTTGCCGGTCCAGGTCTGGTATGGGCGTGACACTGAGGGTTGCAATCCGTTGCCGGACACGAAAAAAGACAAAAAGGAAAAAAAAAAAAAAAAGTGAAACAAGTCAGGCACAGAAAGAGAAATATCACACATTCTCACTTATTTGTGGGAGGTAAAAAAATAAATACACAAACAACTAGGGGGGAGGAAAGAAGACACAACAATTACAATTCCTTGAAGTTGATATGACAAGCAAATAGAAAGGACATTGTTGGGAGGGAGGGGGAATGGGAGGAGGGAGGGAGGTTTTGGTAACTGGCCACATTGTATATTGACAAAATAAAATTAAATTAAAAAAAAATAAAATAAAATAAACAGTGTGATGTTCTCCTTCCCTCACTGATCTCCACAGAAGCAGAGGACTGGCTTAGCCTCTAGAGAAAAAAACCCAGATAATAGATCTCTTCCTGCTTACCCTGTGTAAAGCCACCTCTCAATAACTGCCACCCATGAAACTTCTAGTAAGATCTTAAGTGACTCATGCTGAAATATAAACAGATAGCCTAGGATTGCCAGCCATTTGAGAAAATCCCTAACACTAAGGGCAAAAAACAAAACAAAAGGGTAAAAGGAACTCTGAGGACATAGAGATCAGCTAAGAAATAGATGAACTCCTCCCCCACATCTGTAACTAATCTCTTCAGAGAAGTGAGAGACTACATCCATGACATAAGAGCAAGAAGTTATGTAAAAAAAATATTCAAAATGGAAGGAAAATTAGAAAAATTTTTACATAGCAAAAGTAAAGAATTAAATAGACAGATTAGGAAAATAATTTGAGGAAATCTCTCAAGAAAAGGAGAACAAAGACAAAAAGAAACTGAGATAAACATAAGAAAATCAGAGGATCAGGCCAGCAGGTCACACATTAAAATAATAAGATTTCAGAAAGGGAGAATGGAAAAAAAAAAAGAAGTGAGAAAATTAACAAAGAACTAACATAAGAAAAATTTTCCAAATTTGTAATACGTGAGTCTCCATAGAAAGGGCTACAAATGCTAAAAGAAAAAAGTCTGGGGGAGAGGGGAACATCCGTTTCTATGTCAGTAAAACCAGAAAGTAAATCTTATTTTACGCGGTTGTTACAAGGGTTGAACTCAAGGGTGTTTCCTGTGCTCAAAGAGCATGGCCTGCCATATATTAATAGTAAGTGCAAGAACATTATTCAATGAACATATTTACATTAGTTATAAAACATTAAATGGTTTCTCTTCTGCATATTTCCCCTTTTGATCTATGTTGATTGAGTGGTAGCAATAACAGAGTCCAGGTTTCCTGTATCTGTATTCAATGAACATATTTACATTAGTTATAAAACATTAAATGGTTTCTCTTCTGCATATTTCTCCTTTTGATCTATGTTGATTGAGTGGTAGCAATAACAGAGTCCAGGTTTCCTGTATCTCTTTTACAGCTTCTCACAGAGCAAGTATTTGCTGAATTATTTGAGCAAGTATGTGTTGGACTCTGAGACTTTTCCAAACAAGCCAGTTTAAGCTGAAGAGAATCCTTGTAGTCATATCAGACAGAACGTCTAGGACTGAATGAGGCTAGAGTAGAGTTGAGCTTAGAGTGTGAGTAATTCAGGGAGTCCGTAGGCTTAGCTAAGAACCAAGCTGATTTAGCCCCACCCCCATTTGGGGTGCTCAGTTCTGAACAAGGATTCCTGGTTAAAGTGGATCCAAAAGAGTAGAACTGAGCCCTAAGAGAGATATACCTTCCCTTTAAAACCTCAAGCTTACAGCATTATCACAATTAACAAAACCCAAATCAGCAACAATGCTTTCTACTTATTCCCCCAATTAAATACAACACAAATTCATGCATCTTAATCACAAGTGACTTTAATTGGCTAATAAATGTATAGATGGTGACTTTCTGCTTATTTTTGTGCTTGGCTTGAAATTAGCTCTTCCATCCTAATTTGCCCTGACCATGAGGACCTGCATGACTTCAGTGCGCAGGACCAGCCAAGCCTTATTCCAGCAGACCCTTAGAAGCAGAAATCAGGAAAGGAAGTAATTTGGTCTGTATATAACAATCTTATTTTACAGAGAAAGAGAGTGGTCAAGAGAATAATCCAGGACAATGTGCAGTGAGCAAGAAAACCCAAGACTCTTAAATCCTAGTCTAGTACTCTCCATCATATTTTGGCTTGATTAATTTCCATTGTTCTTCCCTCTGTCTTCTGATGCAGACTTTTATTTACTTACGATCAGTTGAGTAGTTATTTCTTACTCCTTATTCCTTTCCCACATCCATGGAGAATTGAGGTGAATCACCAAATAAAATTGCCTTCAGTTTCCATCACAGAAAACTCTTTGACTTTATAACACAATCATGATGCTCCATGCTGATCACGGTGCTCTGGGCTCTATAAATAGTGAAATAAAATAGAACCACGGATGTTTATAAAAATATGATACTTCTCCTCCTATCCCCTGTATGGGTGGTCTCTGTGACAAATGGGGTTTGGGTAGCAGTATTCCGAGTTGATCAGTGGTGTCCCAGGTGGGTATTCTCTTATTTACTGAGCTGGGTGTCCAATAACATTTCAAGTGACAAATGGAAACTCTTGAGCTTAGTGACTTTTCCATAATTTTTCATTCAGCTGTCTTGTTCAGCCAATCAATCAGTTTTTACTGAATGTCATGCTAATTGCTGTGAAGCATGAAGAAAAAGGAACTGGTTTCTACCCTCTGGGAGGTTTTGATCATATAAGAAAGATAAAGCTAACAGTAATAAAACATGATATAACATGTAAATCATAAGAGCATATGTAGTTCACAATAGCCAAAGGGTGGAAATATCCTAAGTGTCCATTGATGGATGAATGAATAATGTGGTATATACACACAATGGAAGATCATTCCATCTTAAAAAGGAAATTTTGACATACTTAACAACATGGAAGAAACTCAGAGACATTATGCTAATTGAAATCAGCCAGTCACAAGTGGAAAAATGCTGTATGACTTCACTGATATGAGGTACTTACAGCAGTGAAATTCATAAAGATAACAGAATGGTGATTGCCAGGGACTGGGGGTGAAGGTGGGGGGTGAGGAATTCTTGTTTGATAGGCACAGAGTTTCAACTTGGGAAGATAAAAAAGTTCTAGAGAGGGATGGTGATGATGGTTGCACAACAATGTGAATGTTCTTAAAGCCACTGAACTGTATACTTTAAAATCATTAAAATGGTAAATTTTATGTTTTATCAAAAAAATTATTTTTTTAAAAAAGAGCATATATGATAAATTCAGGCACATTTTTTACATCCGTTCCTGCTCTGCTCCTTCCCTAATCTCCATACAAAGCCCTGGCCCTATCTCTATTCGAAACTCTCTGTCCATTCCACCATGGTCTTCCTCTCCCACTTTTCTTTTTACCCTACTCTTAGCTTCCCTAGTAGCTCCATCCCTTTTCCTCACATCTGATCCCCAGCCCCAAATCAAAAATAGCTCAGAGAAACTGGGGAGCTGAGGCACCAGGGCGCAGATATGAATTTTTTCTTCTATTTTGCTTGCTGTTCAATCTCTTCATATGTTTCACTTCCATTAGTCATGCTGTGAGGATTAGTGTTTGGGTTAGAAGTTTTAGCTGGAGCCAAGGGTGTGAATCCTCTAAGCATGCCATCTCCCATTCCCATTTCTCTCTCAGCATATGCTTCATTCCACTAATGTTTGCTGTCATCTGGTTTTCTCAAATTCTCCTACTTGGCAGGAAACGTGGCCACCAACTACACCCAAGTTTGCATATTTCAGCCTCAGATGGAATCTCTTGCTGGGTCTCAATTTTACATTCCCAAGGAAGTGATTGATGGGCCTAGCACAATTCAGGGACCCTCCCCTGGAGCAATCATGTGTGTCCAGGTGGGCAGGGCCCCATGGTACTAACATGATGCCTAGACCATAGCATTATAGCCATGTGGTGGGAGACAACAGGCCATTCTCAAAAGTGGGAAAGAGGAGCACGTTCTTCAGAGAACCCAGTAGTAAACTGAGCCAAATTCCACACAACCTGTGATATAGGAATCTTTCTATATTCACATCTCTAAGGTATTCATGCCTTTATTCTTTGACTCCTTCCAAAAGGCTTGAGGTAATTGAGACTTCCCCATCCCCGACCACAGTGAGATTAGAGGTACTCTGCTGGTATTCTCTCAGTGGTCCTGGGGGAGGATTCTGACTCTCTCTGTGCACCCCTCTCTTCCAGTGCACTGCTTCCTGTGGAGGAGGCCTTCAGAAGAGGACTGTCCATTGTGTCCCCTCAGAGGACAATAAAACTGAAGACCAAGACCAGTGCTTGTGTAATCATGAATCCAAACCTCCAGAATTCCAAAAATGCAACCAGCAGGCCTGCAGGAAGAGTGCTGGTGGGTGAACAGGTTTCCTAGCGGGGGGGAGAGAACTTTTCATAAGGAAGTCATTCTGTGTGACTCAACTTGTGTATAGTTTTACGTCCCCTTTGCTGAACAGAGATCTTAATACTGAAGAGGCCAGTCAGAACCCTGGGAGCAAGCTGTCTGATTTGGTGAGATTTGACTCTAATTCCTTGAGGAATCTCATCCATTTTCCTATCTCAAAGCATGTTCAGACTGACATCATCCCACACAGCACAGAAATGGGAGGAAGCACAGCCAGGTGTCCTCTCAGTCATCTGAAGTCCTAGCTCCACAGTGTAAGTTATGCCTCAGAGTTGTCTGCTCCCAAGCCAGCAAGCTGGACATTCACACCCACACACTCTGCAGCCATTGGCTGAGGGCTTAGGAAGTGAATTTGCAGGCATTTAAGGCTCTCTACATGAAGAGACAAAGGAGCTCCTGTAGGCTGCAAGGGTACAACCATGAACTCTAATGTCCATTCCATTGAAATTTGGGGCTTCATTGGCATGCAAGATTTTTCAATTAAATTAAAAACCTGGAGAGAGAGTTCTCAGGCAGGAAGAGAGGATGTTTTTGATAGTTTACTTACATTAGTTACAAAGTGGGGAATGCCTCACACAGTAGTAGTCCAGTAATTAGGATTTAGAGTGTCAAGATGAATTTACTCTGCCCCTAATTAAAGAACCAACTATAAGACATCAACTAAGGGTAATGCTGCTCCAGAAAAAGCAGCATATTGGTAGTACAGAGTGGTAGTCCTTCCCAAAGATTCTTAAATATGAGGAATTGAAATGTGTGGTTACCTGCTCCCAGCTACTGAGGCATCCAACAGAGGCTGCCCTTAGAGTTAATATCCTGAGAAGATTTTCCCCCAGGGGTTGTTTATGCACAAACAATGCATTTATTCAACAAGTATTTGTTGAGTACTTACTGCATGCTAGTAGACACAATGTTAAACAAGAGCAAAACTACAAACCAGTGACAGGCACTATAAGAAGTGAGGCACGGGGTGTTATGAGAGTACTTGGGAAGAGCATCAAACCTAAACTGGGGAGAATAGGGAAGGCCCCCAGAGAAAGTGAGGGATGAGTAGAAAGTTCAGACCGGAGGTTCCAGGAGAAGCTTTCAGCTTCAGGAATAGCCAGGAAGAACACGATGGCATGTGCATAAATCTAACTCATGTACTCAAGGGAAGTTAGGGTTGGATCCCTTGGTGATTCAGATGCACATTAAAGTTTGAGAAGCACCCAGTTCTAGGCCAAGGAGTCAATTTGAGATGCTTTTCTTTTCACTCCATCTCCTCACCTTCTATGGCACCATGTTTTAAAAATGTTGAGGCTAAGGAACCCCTTCTTTGTTGTGTTATTTTTTATGTCATTGAAGCAGCCACCTAGTCTCAGTTGATCACGCCTAGTGTGATGGGCTGTTATTTTTAATTATATGTACATTCTCTTTAACTGTCCTATTGCTGGACAATACAGTCTTAAATAATCAAAACTGGGTTAAATGCATAGATGGCATTTTTCATCTTGAAATCTCACACTGCATAGATGGTGACTAACAGATGGCTGTCAATTGATGTAAATGACAATGAATTCCTCTCACCAACACTTATCAAGGCAACAAAAGTTAATTACTAGCTTCTCTTGAAAGCAGAGCTATGCTTACTCACATAGAAGCAACATAAAATAGCAATTGCGATATCTTCCCTGATTTAAAGAGCCAACCACACATATACTCTCTAAAATGCATTGAAAATAAATCATTCAATGCCAAGATTCTTGTCAAACAGCCATCACAATAAACATACTTCTATATCCATCTCGTCAGATCAAGTATGAATTCATATAAGGTTTGCTTTCCTCCAGGCCATTTTACTTCTTTTAGGTACCATTTGAATTTTTAATGACTTAAAATCTAAATCAGGACTACCATTTCTGTATTAGGGACTACAAAGCCTTTTTCAAGTATCTGGGTTAAAAGAAAATCAAGAGAATTTATTTACTGAGTATCAGCTGTGTTCTAAGCATTAAATTCATACTGATTAAAAAACAAAAACAAAAACAAATACAAATTATGACTCAAAGGACATCAAAAAAAAGGCAAACCCTTAGGCTTACCATTCCTCGGTTGTTTTTTGTTTGTTTGTTTTTGTTTTTGTTTCTAATTTGGAGAGTAAGTAGAAAAGGAAAGAAAAAGAAAAATGTCCACTTAGGTCCAGTGCTGATACAAATGAACATTTGAGTCAATAAATTTTCTCCTGAAAGATATTCTTCCAGATGAATAGGATTTCATTCATTCATTTATTCAGCAAACATTGATGATCACAAGATATGTCTCAGGCACGTTCTAACAGCTGAGGATAAAGAAATGAGTAAGACAGGTCTGGCCTCAAGGAGCCCAAAGTCTTATGGAAACTGTGTTTGTCAAAAACATTGAAATTGTTTTCAACTTTCTTTCATGGACAAAATATTATGCCTTCAACCTAGATAAAGCTGACAGCAAGGGAATAGGCACATAACTGTCCCTTTAAATTTCCAAGTGTGGTCTCTATTGAACAGGCAGAAGCAAATTGGGATCTCCTCTCTAGCTGCCCCTAATTATAAGCATTGTGAGTATTTCGGGGCCAGGATCCAATTGGCTGATGAACACAACAAGCCTTCATTGTTTTAGAATAATAAGGAGAACCGGTGTAATTAAGCCCTGCCACGATGTTGGGCTCACAGTTGTTGTCTAAATGAGCTGCTAAACATAGTCCTGGAACACAGACTACCAATATGGGCCACCACTGTTCTCCACTCTTCCTTCTGGCTCCCCACGCTCAAACAGTAGGACCCTAGGACCCAGCATGTTTCCAGGGCTCTGAGGACCATTGGAAAAACAGGACTCATGACCTCAGGGTTCTCAAAATCAGGTAAGGACATCAGACCTGGGCGAGCCTATTTCAGTCATTTAGGTGTTAACCTAACCTGACAAGTGGGGCTCTTGTGTTGAGCAAATGAGGATGTTCCAGGCAGGGAGGACCTGCCCTTGTGATCTCCTCCCCCATCACCAGTACAAGAGACACATTTTCTGTAGGCAAAGCTTTAGAGGCACTGAGACAACATTCAGATTCCAGCAACACTGTCTGCATGCCGGCTATGTGATGTTGGGCAAGTTATTAATATGCCTCTCTAGAACCCTCAGTTTTCAAAAGGAGGAGAATAGATGTACCTACAAGTAAATTACTATGAGGACCAAATGAGGTAGTATTCATATACATCAAGCACATCACCTAGTACCTGGTAAATAATGCTTAATCAATTGTATCATTGTTGTTGTTTTTGTCATGGTGGGGGGGTGGGTGCATTAGTTTCCTAGGGCTACCATAGCAAACTACCATAAACAGGATGGCTTAGAACAACAGAAATTTATTCTCTCACAGTTCTTGAGGCTAGAAATCCAAAATCAAGGTGTTGGCAGGGCCATGCTCTCTCTTCTAGCTTCTGGTGGTGGCTGGCAGTCACTGGCTTTCCTTGGCTTACAGCTGTTTAATTCCAATCTCTGCCTCCATTATCACATGGCCTTCTGTCCCCTCAGTGTCTATATCTTAACATGACTTTCTCCTCTGTGTGTGTATCTGTCTTTGTGTTTCTTCTCTTATAAAGACACCAGCACTGTTGAATTAAGGGCCCACCCTGCTCCAAAATGGCCTCATCTTAATTTATATCATAATTATATCTGCCAAGATTCTATAACCAAATCAGGTCACATTTACAGATACCATGGGTTAGGACTTCAACTCTGAGAGACACTTAAACTTCAGAGGCCACAATTTAAGCCACAACAGGATTAATGACTTTGGGGGTCTCCTAGAGGCCCTTTTTACAATAACAGATACCCCTGAGACACACACACACACACACACATTAGCCCTTCGCAGAAAAGGCTCACATACCACTTACAGAACAGTTCAAGATGGAGCAAGTGGTACAATAATAATGCAGGTTTGGAGACTGATGCAGAAGGGATCCACACAGGCCAGTACAGCCAAAAGAAGCTTCGTGGAGAGGTGAATGCAAACTGAGCCTTCACACTCCCTCTGTCTTCCTCTTTCCTTGTAACAGCCCCAGAGCACTCCCATGCTCATGGCAGGGATAATGTGGGACAAAGAGCTACCCCAGATACACCTTTCCATCCACCATCCACAAGGGCTTCAGACAAGGCTGGCTAAGACACTGGGGAAGCCAGGTAACACCTGGACTTGCAGGCAGGGCCCTGTTCCAAAGCCAGAAGCCTGGGAAGGAAGCCTTGCCTTTCTGTGAACAGCAGCCCATGCACTGTACAGCCCAGCCCCATGGGGAATGCCCACCGCTCTGCTGGGGATGTGAGAGATGGAGAGCTCAAAGGCACATTCCACAACAGAAATGCCTGGTCAAAACCTGCGCTCTCTCTGAAACTTCAGAGCATGTGAGAAAACTTTCTGTGGGATTTTAGAGAGATTGAGTTTTTATAATAGGCTTAAAGAAAAGGCCTGAAGAAGAAAAGAATCAGCAGCAAAAACAGGTTTTGGATTCCAGAAGCATTATATATTTCCGATTCCTAAGTGCACTTAAAACTTTTTTTTTCATTGAAACATAATTGATTGTACATATCTGTGGGGTACAGTGTTGATAAGTGCACTTAAAACTTGCACACAAAATGGAATCCTGGCAGCTAACAGAAGACATTTATTTCTTCACATAAAAAACAAAATATAGCCAAGGAAATGATGATTTCTGAGGAAATAAAAAGTATTTTTTGCCTTCGTTGCCTGAAGGAGAAAAAAGCATAGAGAGGCAAAAATCACAGGTTTGGGGTCAAGAGGATATTACTTTAATTTCTACTTTTACAAAGGACAAGTGGTCTTTTTATGAAAGTGCTTTCTTCAGAACTATTAAAATCTTTTCTCTGTAAAGGAGAAAGAAACGTAACGAGAGCTCTGAGAGGAACACAAGCAAAGTGTGCAACAATTTCACTTTTTAGAAAGAAAATCAGTGATTTGGGCCTTACGGAATTTCTTCCAGATCCAGAGTACGTGGGCCATGGCAGTCTGAGTACCACTTAGAGGATGTGTGTGTGGCAGTCCTGAGCAATTTAGTTGTTGCTTTGCCTCACACGGATTTGCCACCTCTGTCCCCTGGGTGACGGAGATGCAAAGGATTACTCAAAGCCCTTCTCTTCTGAGCAGTGAGACACCCTGAAGGGGTTAACTTCCCAGAACCTTCAAGAGAGAGGCATTCCTCCTTTGTGAAATTAACACTGAGCTGGGGTTCTGTCTCAGTATTTATTCTCCAGGCCAGAAAGTTACAGAAAAAGAACATAGGTGGAGTTATGGTTAAGTACAGTTTAACAATAGAAGCTAATAACATCAGTGAAATAACAAAGTGACATTCTGTAATGCACTTTGCAAAAGGTTAAGTTGATCCACCAACAAAAGCCTGCTCTTAGCAAATACTGTCTCCTCCCATAGCAGTTTCCTCAGTATCTTTACATAACAATAACTTTCTTAATATATCAATCAGTAGGTTAACCTGTACCAAGGGCATCTGTCCTTGAGCCAGCAACTTTGCTGTGTTACAATTCTATATCTACAACAGAGACTTTAGCCTGGGGAAAGTTTCCTGTCTTTTGCAAACTTAACATTTCTATATGTAATTTTAAAAAGCTAGGCTAAACCTGAAACTGCAGGGCTTTGGTAACTAGGCCCTGTGAAATACATTTGCTTTATAAATGTTAGTGTACTCCACATCTAGTCTAACTCCCCGACTCACAGATGAGAAAAGCAAGGTCAAGAAAATTAAGGGACATACTGCCCAGAGATGGTTAGAGTAGAATGGAGATTAGGACTCAGGTAACTAGTTGGATACTTACTATGAGAATTATTTATGTGTGACATGTACCTTCATTACATGGTACAGTTCTGGAGGGCAGTGGCCACAATTTGTATATCTGTACCCTTCACCCTGCAGAGCAATTCTCAGGAAGCATTGGTTAGTTGGCTGATGGGTTGATTGCTTGGCACTCTGAATAGTGTGACTGGTAAAAGCATGAGCTCTAGAGTCGCAAATGCCTGTGTTCAGATCTAGCTGTGCCACTTATCAGCTGGATGACATTGCACAAGTTCTTCACTGCTTTTGGCCTTACTTTCCTCATTTGTGAAACAGAAAGAATATTTACCTGCTAGTACTGCTTTGAAGACTAAAGGAATTCAGTGATGTATATAAAACACTGCATTCAACTGTTGTCCTAATAGTACTGCATAGCAAACACAACTATACTCAAAGGGTTAAAACTACAGTCATGTATGTTTTGCTTAACATCTGTAGGTCAGCTAAGGTTCAGCTGATCTAGCCTGGCTTTGGCTGGCCTTGACTGCAAGCTGTAGGTTGGGTCAAGGTCTGCTCCATGTGTCTCTTCTCCCTCTTGGTCCAGCTGGCACAAGCCAGGTTCTTTTGATGGTGACAGCAGAAACTCAGCAAAGCAGGCTCATCCTCCTGTACATGTCAAGGTCCTGCAGGGATCATGTCTACTAACATTCCATTGACCAAAGCAGTCACACAGCTAAACTCAAAGTCAAGGAGTGGGGAACTATCCTCTACCCACAAGGCAGCCATGACAAGGGTGGGAATGTGTGTGACACTACTACACAGGAGTGAAGAACTGTGACTGACAGTGCAGCTTAACACAAACACTTGCACAGTGCCTGATGCATAATAAATGCGCAATGGCTATTGACTATTACTACGGATCCTTTCTTGGCAGACATATAAAATCTTAGATTAAGAGAAGTCGTGCTCATTCACTTACAAAGGATAACCTTTGGGGGGTTTTTTTCTTGTTTTTTTCTTCCTCCCACAGATTTACTTTGCACCAAGGACAAGCTGTCAGCCAGTTTCTGCCAGACACTGAAAGCCATGAAGAAATGTTCCGTGCCCACTGTGAGGGCTCAGTGTTGCCTCTCGTGTCCACAGACACACATCGTCCACACACAAAGGCAAAGAAAGCAGCAGTTGCTCAAAAAACGCAAAGCACTCTGAGTCCAGAAGGAAGCCACCCTATAGCATAGACCACAGCAGCCTGCTGACCACAACGTGTTTTAGCTCTGAGGGCCACTTCATTGAGTTTTCACTTTACATATTTGAGGTTCAACTTTGAGTCATAACAAAACAAAATGCATGTCTTCCTCCAGCCATATGATGTGCCTCCCAGGAAGCTAGGGACTGTCATACTTGCTGCTCCCTGATACGAAGATGAAGTATCCAATAGAATCAGGCATCACCTGGGATCAGCTCCTGGGAAAGGAGCCAGATTAGGCAGGTCTGTGAAATGATGTATTTTTTTCCTCGCCTTAAAGCAAAATCAGAGACCAGATTTTCCCAGACTACCTCAAGAGTATCAGGAAAGAGAGTCACACTTACCCAGGGAACAAATAATCTTATTAATTTTCATTGGTGATAAATCAAGGTAACTTACCTTGATGATTTTCCTTTTTTTGTTTTTTTCCTCCCTGCCTGGGGCAGCTGCTATTTAAAATGTCATGGGGAAGCTTTTAGGAACATTTTTTAATTCATTCAGGCAGAGGACCACTTTCTTCACCCAGTATTCAACTAGGGCAGGAAGAGAACATGCTGGTTACATCTCTCAGGCTATCCCTCAATCCTGTCCAAGTAGGACTCCACTTCTGGGCTTTTAGAGTCCTCTGCTGACCTTGAGACATTAGGCTAAGAGGAAACAGCATAAGAAACATAGCCTAGGGGATTTAAATGAGTTACACAAAAAACACTTCTGACTTGAGGATAGTTTCCATGAAAACTCTGACAAAGCAAATGAACAGAAATGAATTTCTTGCTAGTATAAGAAAGGAGCTGTGAGCCTTTACCTACTTTCCTGGAGACACCCACGCCTCCATGGGAGGACGAATGAGTCTTCTTGTCTGAACTTCTCCCTCCAGCACAGCCTCACAAGCTCAGGCCCCACCTTTATCTTGCCACAGGGGTTTGTACACAAAGACTGGCACAGCCACCCCATGGCTGCTACCTGCCCTCACCTCCCCGTGGTTGGAAAACAGAGCTCTAGATTAAAATATTTCAAAGAATCAGGTAAATTGTACTAAATTAAGAACTTAGTACAAACTTCCAATCTAGAGGGAAAAACTTCTAAAAAGTGAGGTAAAGATGATCTCCTCAGTGTGCCCAGTAGTTACTTTTTAAAGGTCTTTTACTTTGAGGGAAACAGATGAGTCCAAAAACCTGAAATGAAAGTTAGAACCCTTACTCTGGATGTTCCTTCCACCCATCAGCGTCAAAGTAGGCTATGGTCTCAAATTTAGAGCAAATTTCCAGGTGAACTGATTTCTAAGGAGAGGTACTTAGATGAACTGAACCCGGAGAAAGAGAATAGGTGGCTGGAAGGGTATAAGCCTCCAGGAGAAGACTCAGAACCAGTTCTTGACAGGGGGGAAGGCAGGGAGGTGGCCTTCATGTAACAGGCAGCATGTTTTCAGACTCATGCACAGATACACTTAATATGCATCGTGGAACACAATGTCCCATAGCTCACTTTAATTATGTATCCATTCAGCAGAATGGTGCTATTGAAAAATGGTGCTAATATCTAGATTGTGGCAGAACTAATATAAATAGATAGGCAAACAAATGGATAAGTGTATGTAAAACTCTGCATATACATCTTCTGTTAAATGTGTAATGGCGTTGCTGGCCAATGCCAGTTCTATTGCTTGAATATCATGAACTTAAAATTTTATATTATGTGCTTTTTATTTTCTTTTCAAGCCACTAATGTGTATCACTCTGATAAATTCCTGTGGAAAATAAAACACTAGGGTTGGGATGAAATTCAAGATAGACCAGAAACAGAAGGAAAGTAGAAATGTGTACCTAGAGCCAGGGAATTTATTTCTAGATATTAATTGTATTCTTGTATACTCTGTCTTTAAATATAAACGTTGCTGGCCAGTGACAATCTATGGTGAAATAACAGTTTTAGAGAGTAAAAGACACTTAAATTGTGAGTGATATGAGCTAATGAGGCAATTCATATGACTGTCCCTGAAACATGGTGTAGGCATTCAGAAGTATTGATTTAGTAAGCCAGATTGATTTAACTTAACCTGGTACTGTACTAGCATAGGATCAAACACATGTCATCAAGACCTGGGTATGACCAGGCTTACAAAACTCAGGAACAAACCCGGACTCCTACTGACCTCAACAAACTAAACTAAGCCAGATTTCCCAATATACAAAATGGACCGTGTCATTTATGACCCATGTGGTGGAGAAAATGGTAGACATGCGGGGACGGTCTGGCCAGGTGCTCATTCAAAGGCTTTCTCCAGTTTCGCAAGGGCAGAAGATTGGCTCCTGATCGTGTGTCATGGACATTTGCTTCCTGTGTTGAGGTTGTGTTGTGAGACAGTTGTGTGGCATCCATCATTCTGGACTCCAGAATAAAGATAGTGCTTGCTGTAGGAATCATGTGTCATGTTGGTTGTTGCCTTGACAATCACTGAGCTATGGATTGTTAGTGTTTTGACAGGTCCTGGTGCTTACAATACAAGAGGGGCCTCAGATCAACAAAGAACCTGGATGGTGTCTTCATTTCTTTGATGCCCACAAGAGCCAACATGATACAGAATCATTGGTTTACTTCACTCAGGTCCTCCTTTCTTTCCACCTTGAACCAGCACATGAGAAGTGTAGCAAAAGACACTGGATACCCATCTACCATGAACCAGACAGAGCCACCACAGGGCCTGGTGCTTAAATACATTAAGGTTCTAAAACCCAGTTTGGTTTACTTTGCCTTTCACAGTGGTTGAGTTAGCTCTTCTCTGAGAAGTTGAGGGTTAATTTGATTCTTGAACATCAAAACATAATTAAACCCATCATGAGAGAACAATATTCCAAGAAACTTAATAGTGAATACTTTGTAAAATAAGGAAATTGTTTCATGGTACAAAGAATCGCCTCCTTTTGTAAGAATGCTTTGTTTTTGATGGTTTTCTTAAATAAGAGCACACTTCTGTCCAATCTCCTAAGACAACCAAGTCTCCAACAGCATCCCAGTGTAATGCTTTCAGATAGCCAGTGAATGTTTTTGATAACCTTCATCTAGTATCTGAAACACAATGTAAGGGATTATATTGTTTCAGACCACGACTTTCCATTCAATTGACTAAAATCCTCCAAATTCTGAAAGCTACACATCACTACCCCAGAGATTTCAGGTCTTAGCTCTTCTCCCTTCTGACTTTAAGATGAAGTCCTGGGATGGTGTATCTGGTGCTGAGTCTACAGTGATTCACTTTCCAGAGAGAGAGCACATGACATGAATTTCCTGGTGCTACAACCTAGACAGCATATTCAATGTTTTTCTCCTGGTGTCTGTATTGCTAATTAAAGTATTATTGTTATTATTATTAGTAGTAGTATTTTATGTCATTAAAAAAAATATGGTGGGAGAATCACCACATGACCTATCGTTGCCTTCCAAAGTGGTTGTACAATGTACATGGCCCAACTCATTGCACCCCCCCACCTATGTGCTGCTTTGCCAGACCCCCTTCCTCAGCCTCCTTAAGCGGTACTTTGGAAGGTACCTCTGTACTTTAAACCAGACTGTAATCATAACCTGCTTTTGTATGGCATCAATAAATGGCAAAATTCATTGATGTTTCCTTGTGACTCATTTACCCCTGATGCAAGACTCCCACCACCACCAGTGTTACCTTGGAATTTAGAAACTTGGAGGAGGATACTACCAATTTCTTCCTCCCACACTCCTTCCAGATTCCCTCCTACTGCCACCCACCCCCACCCCAGAGCAGTGCATCACCAGATGAGTCACATCCCAGGTGAGGGAGAACTTAGTTCTCTTCTCATGAATGTGCAACAACTGACATAATCCACCATATGATAATCCGAAGTGATGCCTAAAATTCCCCACAATACTGAATCCAATATATTCAGACACGCAGCTCACAGCAGAACCTACTCCCCTATCTTTCAAAGTGTAGATATAATGCTTAAGAGAAAATAATTTACTCCTAGAATTTGCTTTTGGAAATCCAGTCCTTTTTCAAAGATGGTGCACAGCACAGTAAGTGCAACAAGCAGAGATAGAATTTGTACCTGTGGAGTTGGAATCCACTCATATGGAATAAGTAAAAGCACTGAGGGAGGGAGGAGCACTTGCAGGTGATCCCTGGAATGTCTGAGGGTGTGAATGGGAGTGGTAGGAAATCTGGTTTTGGTCAAGAAGGCATCATGGAGGGCCATGACACCTCCCTGTTTGTACCCTAAGAACTCTTCTGTCTGTGACCTCTAGGGAACTCTTGTCCTGCAAAGCTCAGCTCAAACGCTATTTCCTCTGGGAAGTCCAGCCTGGCCTTGCCAGAAAGACTGAAGCACTTCTCTGCTCCTGCTACACCTTGTACATTTTCCACTAGAAAAGTAGCTCTTGATCAGGGGCAATTTTGTCCCCCAGGAGATATTTGACAATATCTGGAGACATTTTTGGCTTTCACAACTGGAGGGTGGGAGAGACAGGGAGTGCTACTGGCATCTAGTGGGTAGAGACAAGGATGCTGCTACATCTACAGCGTGACAGTCCCCCCCATAACAAGAGTCCTGAATGTCAAGAGTTCTGAAGTTGAACACAATTATCACCTTGGAGTGAGTAGCAGGGGTTCTGGGCTGGGTAAAACTGCTCCTGCCCTGAGAGGAACATGTGATTGGGGTATAAAGACCCCACAGGGATGTCTCAATACTGTCCACCCTGGAAGTGAAGCCCTCATGCCTCTATGGGAGAGAAGATAAGCATGAAGGGGAGGGGATGAAGGGCAGAGGATGTATTATCCAAAAATGGCTCTTTTCCCACAAATCTAAATGATGTGATTTTTTTTTAAGTTCTTAATGAAAAGACTTGAGAAAAGTAGTGTGAAAGCAAAATGCAGAAGCTGGTGAGAAAGTGGTCCTGTCTTCTGTGCTTCATCCCCCACCAAGTGCTCCCACTCCCTCCCTTTGGTGGTCGAGCATCTCTAACTTTATGAGATGCTGCCAGGACTAGGGGTCTTCAAGGATGGAGCCTGCAGCCTCTGCAGTGATGGGAGATGGTGCCTGGGGCCATGGTCATATCAAAGGATTCCCAAACAGGCAGGACAGTCTGTCTGGAGCCTGATATTTGGCCTCAGCCAGCTGGGAGCTCTCTTGCCCAAATGCCAGCTGAGGTGGTGGCTCTGGCACCAGCACTACACAGAGCTTCCTCTTTGGTTATTGGAGCACAGCCAGCTACGGTAAGACAGGAAGACGATGCTGCATGAGAGAAAGACATGAAGAGAACCAGTGCACAGCAGGCATTCTCCTGTTGCTCCCAGAATTACTGAAGAAAAGTTTGCAGGGACTGGAATTCCCTCAGAGTAGGTGGGAAGAGAACCAGAGAAATACTAACTGAACCATCATTAACACCATATTCGTAACCCCAGGCTAACAAGGACCAGAAAGCCCTGCTGACATTTTGCTTGCATGCCACACCTCTGGGCTCAGCCCTCCCAAGAAAGAAAAATATATACATTGTTCAGTATTTCTATCCCTGGAAACTGCCTGACACATAGTACGTGCTCAATAAAAATGTTTTGATTAAATTAATCTTCTCCAAGTTAGGTAGCTGGGAGGAAGAAGTGAAGGCCTTTTAGCAACTGAGAGTTGGAAGATTATCCTGAAAGCTGAACTTTGTAAGCCATTCAGACCCAACACCCAGAGCTAAACTAACCATCATAGCCAGTCATGGACAATTAATTTATACTCCATATTTCACAATATGTATTTTATTTAAAAACTGCTTTCCTACTCCCAATATTGGATCAAACTGATGACTCAGAAGCTGCATCCTGTTTTTCCCATGGTTTTAATATCCCTTGGACACTCGGACTTCATCTGACATCCTTGCCTTACAAGCAGAGGCATCACTCCATGCATGAAGAATTGGGCAGCACAACCAGGCACACCACCAGCACCTCGGGGCCCCTCCCAGGGGCCCAGGGCTTGGAACCAGGGACTGGACCCCCCACCCACAACCAGGCACACCACCAGCACCTTGGGGACCCACCTGGGGACCTGCCCGGGGGCCCGGGACATCGAGCCAGAGACCAGACCTCTGCCCACAGCCATACATTCCACCAGCACGAAGGAGCAGGCCAAAAACATCACCTCCATGTGGGTGGCCCACCACAGCCAGCACAGTAATCACGGCTGCTGTGTAAGTGCCCAGATGTCACAACCACCACGTAGATGGCCCGCCAGCCACTGGAGTGCATTGACACAAGGAGAGTCACTAGCAGAGACCAAAGAATAGAAGAGGATGTCTCTCTCCACAAAGCCTATTCCAGAGTGACAGAAGAAGCATCTGCTCTATGATAATATTGGGGGACCTGAACACACCTCTCATCATTGGACAGATCATCTAGGCAACAAATCAACAGAGTAACCATTACTCTTTCAGAAGGAGAGAAGAAATCTAGGGTTATCAGAGGTGGGAAGGGCAGGAAGAGGGAGATAGGGAGAGATTGGACAAGGGGCATAAAGAATAAGTACAATTTGTAACAATATACATACTAGTAATATTGATTTGATCAACATATGTCAACATTGAATCCCAAGAATATGTATAATCAATTATGATTCAATAAAAAAAAAATTTTTTTTTAACTTGGAAAGAGGGTGCTTCTATTGGTGAAAGTTTGATGGCCATGACACTTGTATTAAGTGAGGTTAATGGGTCGAGTGCTGCATTCTCTCTCTCTCCGCCTGACCCCCATCCTCAGCTCAGGGTGCCTCAGGAGGGAGGCCCACAGCTCTCCTGCTGTTTGCATGGGAGATGGAGACATAAAGGGTGGGAAAGCCCTTTTCCGTCTGCACCCAGGACGTGCTCTCCAAGCCAGCTTCACCATTAGTAAAGCTGATATTTTGATCTGGCTAATAATGTCTATTCTAAGTTTGATTAGCAACCTCAATTAGAAGAGGATGATTAATCCAAACCCCCAACATGTCACTTTTCCACTTTACTTGCTTTTTCTCTGGCTCTCAGATTGAGGTATCTGAGTCCCCAGGGGCTAGTCCTAGACTCTTTTGGAGCTGTGCTCACGATCATTCCTCCCCTCCAACATCAAGATGGTTTCATCAGAAATTCTGGGTGTGAAGCCCAATAATTTTGAATAGAGCTGTTTTGAATAAAGCTGTTATGAGCATTCTGTGCAAGCATTTTGGACAGGAACCATACTTGTGGCAGGCTAATGTAATAGAACACAACAAGAATACTTCCCCCTCCCCAGGCCCTGTGATTGTATAATGCCATGGTCGGTGGAGACCATTCTGATCCAGTGGCTATCAAACTTTAGTGTGCACATCACAGCCTCCTTGTGCTTAGGGACACCAGACAGCACTTCGGTACTACACTTGGAAGCCATTGTAAACAGCCAAATCGCCAAGAAAAACGCAAAGACATGGCACTAAATAGACCTTGAAAAGGGCACTTGTTTACAGTAGGTGAACAGAAACAAAAACGCAGAGCACCGCCTCACTGAAACTCCACTGACAGCACGTCGTCAGGTGACTCAAATTGTTCACCACTCTGCGCGTGTCTGAAAGCACTGCTAGCATTCATCGTAAGGTTACAAATAAATTTTAGCAAGTAGGCAAATTTGCAAGTATGGAATCTGCAAGTAATGAGTATCTACTATATTTAGAACTTGAAACTTGATGCATGTTGCGCTTTTTAATCAAAATAGTGAAAAACTGGCAACAGCTCTGGTGTTCAACAGAAGAATGGATAAACAAACTGTGATACAGTTATACAATAAAATGCTGCTCAGCAATAAAAAGGAAAGAACTGTTGATGAACATAACAACATGGAAAAATCTCAAAACATTATGCTGAGTGCAAGAAGCTTTACTCAAAAGAGTACATACTATATAATTCTTTTTTAAAAATAAAATTTGAAAATAGGTAAGACCAATCTACAGTGGAAAAAATTCAGAACAGTGGTTGCCTCCAAAACATTATGCTGAGTGCAAGAAGCTTTACTCAAAAGAGTACATACTATATAATTCTTTTTTTAAAATAAAATTTGAAAATAGGTAAGACCAATCTACAGTGGAAAAAATTCAGAACAGTGGTTGCCTCCAGGGGTGGGGTATGGGTAGGGACTACTAAGAAAGAACATGGGGGACATTGTTGGGCTTCAGCCACAGAATTTCTGATTTAGGACCAAGAATATGCATTTCTAGTAAGTTCCCAGGCAATGTTGATGAAGCTATCTTGGAGAATCACACTTTGAGAACCACTGTTCTAACCTAGTCTTGTTTGATTAATATAGAAGACACCTCTGGTGCCCATGTCACATTCCCAAAGGCCCATTTCAGTTCTGTATGAGCTCAGAGTCCCCTTGTTTCAAGCACAAGACACCTATCTGTTTGCTTTCTGTTCCAGAGCACCCTCATGTAGGTGTGAGGGAATTAAGACCTCTGGGGAAATTCTTAACCAATGGGGGCTGAAGCAATGGATAAAGGTTCCGGCCTCTCATCCTTCAGGTGCACAAATCTGGGAGGATTCTGCATGCTTTGCAGCAGACCTTGGTATTGTTGAGCTCCAGCTGCCCACAGCGACAACCT